ATTTTAAATTGGCCCATGACGTGCTGGAAGGAGTAATGCAAATGGCAGACAGAAAGTGATAGCTGGCAGGTCAGCCAGGTGGCGTGGTGGCTAAGGCAGCCGGATCCCACATGGCCAACTGCATGATGCAAGTCCTGGACCTGGTGGCTTGAAACACAACCTGCATGTGCATGCCCAACATCCCAAAAGGGGAATAGAAGAGATGGGATTGTACTATGGTCATCCTTCCCTGGAGGGTGCTTTCCTACTTTCTCTCTTTCTCTTCTTCTCTTTATCTCTTCCTCCCTCTCTCTCTAGCAAGTACACATACCCTATAGCAAATCAAAAAAAAAAAAAAAAAAGGAAAGGAAAGTGGGGCTGGAACAAGATCTGATCTGGGAGGACAGGAAAGGGAAGGGAGTGGAATATAGCATAACTGGAAATAGCCTTAGACCCACAGAGAAAATCTCCCTATGAGACAGTAAAGGAGGGAAGGACAGGTACAAGTTGGTAGGTTTGTAGGTGAGAGTGGGTGGACTGAATGGGGCTGTTTACTCCTAATTCTCATTCTAGTCACTATTTTTTTTTCTAAAATAAGATTTGAATACTGAGAGATGACTTAGTGCAAAGGTCTGTCATCATTTTCTGTAAGGGTCTGAAGAGTAAATCTTTTCAGCTTTGTGGACCAGATGGTCTCGGGAACAACTACTCAATTCCACAGTTGTAGCAAGAAAGCACCATTCACCATATGTAATTGTGTGGGTGGAGTTGTGTTCCAATAAAACCTTATTCACAGAAACAGACAGTGGGACAGATCTGGCCCATGGTTTGCTACTCCCTGGCTGAGTGCTATGCCCTGTGTACTGTGGATGGTGATTCTGTGAGGAATGAGGACTGGACTGGTCGGGTGTCAGAGGGCGAGTCCTGGTCTCTTCCCCTAAATAGTTTTGGGACTGTACATGAGTCTCTTAATCTTTCTGGGGTCTCAGTTTTCCTCTCTTAAATCTCTGTTAAAATAGCTGTCCTGCCTATTCTGCCTACTCTGTGTGAGGCCCAGATGGAAGCTCATTGGGTTCAGTGTAATGTATTCCTACTATTAATGTTATTTTAGATAAATACATGAAAGCAGGAACATTAGCTCCATGAGGCAGATTGTTTTTGTTTTTGTTTTTGTTGCTTTGTTTTTTCTGGGTTCATTGATATGTTCCAAACACCCAGAGTAGAACTGAACTACACTACAGAGATTTGTTGAGTGAATGAATGATAAGAATAAAACAAAATCTTCACTTACTCATCCAAACAGCATCACTTTCAAAGAGCTTTTATTGCTGTATTTATCAGACCACCCACGCTCCAGTCCCAACTTCACCTCCTCAAGATAAAAGGGTACCTTGTTGCCCCATTTGTCTTACCCAGAAAGTGGAGCACATAATACCCTTCCTTAGTCACCTGATAGAGCTTTGTCATGTAGCTCAAGAGCGATAACCAGTAGAACAGGGCTTCTCAGACTAGACTAAGCATCTAACTTGCCTGGGGATCTTGTTAAATGCAGGCTCTGATTCAAGACTGAGAAGGGCCCTGGACTTTGCCCCCTTCTCCCTCCTTCTCTCTCTTTCTTTCTTTCTTCCTTCCTTTCTTTCTTTCTCTCGAGAGACAGTGCTGG